TGATAGCCACAGGAACTCAATATACAATTACAAATAAAAACTTTCAATTACAATTATGCAGACAAGCTACATTGTAAATAAAAAGCCCCGATTCAAGAATTAAATATAAATTAGTTTAGTCCAAATTTTATACTAATGTCTTCCTCTGAAGAACGTTCTTTACGCACAGTAGGTCGTTTTATCGTTTCTATCAAATCCGTTGACCATTCTAAAAGGAAACTCTTTACTAGAAAATACAGAAATGGAATCACACTAAATATATTTATTACTTTTGTCCTAAATTATAAATTCTTAGGGCAACTGCCGTTCAATATAAGAGACCTTCTAAACATGGATCTCGCATACAATTCAAGGCAAGAAACTATAAAACCCGTAAAATTATATTTTACGAACGTATTTTACAACAAAACTGTTTCTCATCTCATATGCTTGGTATCCTATCCGATGGCATTAAAAATTTTGTCCATAAGTGAATCTACATTCGTCAAATTTTCGAAAAACAACTCTTCATAATATTAATCTATATACATTCTGGCCAGTTTGTCTGGCTGGAGTAATGGCGGACGCAAAAGATGCGCACTTAAGAACTGGGTACAAGTAGGGGACAGATTTTTTGCTAAGTGGCGCTTCTGTATATATCTATTCTGTGCTTCAGTGAAAGCAATGGATGCTTTGAAAGCATCCAGTTAAACATAGATTGTTACAAGCATCCCGCTTGCCGATATTTATAATCTATGTACAATCTATGTTTAACATCGATATAAGATTCATTCTTTTCCAGTGGAAAGCGGGCACTGTATATGAGCCTTCTCTCGGTGCTCTGTGTCTACTACTGGATTATTACATTTATAATTGGAACATTGGACATAAGCATGTTTATGCACATTAAAAATTCTGTAACATTCTACTACCAAGTGATGCTTTATTCAGCTTGGTGAAATCACAACACACAAATTTTCTGGTAAAAAAATTTGCAATAAGTTCATTTACTTTAAACAACAATGACAAGTATCAGTTATAAGGACTCACAGACAATAATCAAGCAACACAATCTGCAATCACAATATTCAGCTTCACAGAAATCAGTCATGTACATCTCATTTTTTTGTGAAATCATACTTATACTATACAATATATTGGTTTCTCAATGTAAAACTAAGCCATTTTTGGCGGCTTTTACATAACAATATTTTATTTTAACACAACTGCGGAACTACTTCAAATATATAGTTACCATTCACGCGATATACAAAGTGCAATTTTTTTGCAGTTTGTAATCAACAAAGAATTTCTGTAAGATCATGTCCTTGGTGAGGTTTTTACGAAGTCTGTTTACTGAGAGTTATAAAAAATTTCGAAAATCTGGCCATTTTTGCTCAGCGAATTTTTAGACGTTTCTTAGACAAAATAACCATTTTTTCTTCCAATATCATTCCTTTTATACTCATGCCATTACAATTAATCAATTCGACCCCGAGAGTGTGACATATAATGCAAAAAAAGGGTGCAAAATACAGTTTACTACTATAAACCAATACATCAATACTACAAAAGTGGATAGTACAATACGACCGCCACTGGCTTGAGAAAAGGTCAAAGTTGCGTTATCCAGTTTAATACATATCAGTATTACCCATGCCTTTAACTTAGTCGAAACCATTGAGTTCTATAATTCTACAACGTCATCAGCATGTCACTACGGAGTCACGTGAGATGCGTCCGCGCGTCGCTTGTCGATCAGCGCACTGCGTGTTCGTTGATCAGAGAGAAAGAAATACACACTTAAGTTATATATTTTCTAACATTTTTAGAAGAAGACAGGTAACGAATCGTGAGTATATCCATATTTTAGAATTCTCCTTATTTCAACATTTGCCATTAGCAAGTATGACTAACATTGAAGAAACATGTAATGACATAGAAGACATATCAGCGGGCAAACAACAGCCTGATACTCAAATTATTACTGAAGAGCTAGCTGAAGTGAAATCAATGATACGTATCATGTGGCAGCATCATCAAACAAGGGATGATGCAAACGCAACTCAACAACCCAACCTTGAGGAAAACCATAATAGCCGACATAAACGGCGCCGATCGAGCTCTACTTCGACGGATAGTGAAGACGATATCCGTCAGGAGAAAAACAGAAAATCAAAATCTTACAAATCAGTTAATTATACTACACATGAAAACAACTCGAATGAAAATGACAAAATAAGCGTTTGCGCTGATGAACTCGACGATGATAATATCTCTGAGCTCATTGACAATGGTAAAACAGAAACAAATGCGAGCTCGACCGATGATACACTTCAACAGCTAGCTGAAATATTTGACGACTCGGAGTCCACACGAAATGATATAAAACCACATCTCGCAACCATTGTCGAGAAAAGGAGACAGAAAAAATTTGCTCTTGACAAACTAAAGTCAATCCAAGACAAATCCAAAAAACCTGCCAATTGCCCTTTTGTATGCTCCATCACAGTCAACCCCGAAACATTGGGCAAACTGTCATTCTACCAACAAAGAACAGACCAAAACATATCAAACATACAAGAAGCAGTACGAAAAACAAATCTTATTGCAATTCAAACAGCGCACGCTCTGAGCACAACAAAGGCAAACGACCTTGACATTAAAGAACTGTGAAGTCAACAAGTCGACTTAATAGCAATGCTGGGACACATCAGCCATGAACTGGTAAGTGTTCTCAGGAATAAAATAAAATGTGTTCTGAAACCAGTATATGCTCCCATCTGCTCAGATAACGGCGAACGCAGCAAATTTCTCTTTGGGGATGACTTACCGTAAATATTGAAAAAAGCAAAAGAAACGAGCAATGTAAGTCAGGTAGTCAAATACAATCAACCTCGATCAACCCCATCTCGCGCATATAATTCAAAAAATTATGATAAACGACATTGGCGCCAACATGGATCAAATCATGAAGGTGGAGCGAAGTCGGATTTTCACAAGCGCGAGAAGTCATACTTCCCAAAGAAAAATATGAAACGACAAACACACAAGAAATAATTCACCAATTACGACATATGAAAAATACATCGATAAGCAAATGGGAAAATTTTATTCCAAAGTTAAAAGACCTCTTAATTACTTTATGTGACAGCTGCAAAGCGGGCAGAATAGCAAATCACTTTTCCGCATGGACCGATATTACATCCGACAAAGAGATCTTATCTAATGTAAAAGTATGCCATTCGATCTGTTGGAAACGCCTTACCAACATCACTTTTGCCCAACAAACTTCAACGAAATTCAACGATTATGGGTTATGCTAGGTATTAAACGGATTATGCTAGGTGTTATTGACGCAATCTATCACATGTGCCCGTTCAATAATTTGAAAATTTGGTACACCTATCGTAAACGTTAAAGTAAGAAGCTAAATTTGTGGATGTCTTTCCTACAATGCACTCCCACACTTCAAAAAATCTGGGTGTTTGAGCACCTAGACATCCAGAGCTTCCCATGCCCTAAGTGAAAGAATTCTGACATGGACCTGGACAATGGTGTGGCCAACAAGTTTGTTCGTGCTATGATTGCTATATGTATTCTTTCTCTTTCAATTAAAATATCTTCACAAAGGTTTCATCAACTTGCAAAGCAATATTGCACAATGTATTTATACAAAACGGTTATATTAGGCTCCTTGCAGACGAAATTGGCAAAAAACAAACATTGAAGGATCACGCTAAAAAAGTTTTGCCATGAGTGCATCCGTCCATCTGAGCGGCTCACTTTTCTGAATTATTGCAAGCAAAAATAAAACATAACGATAAAATCAAGATAATTAAAACATAAACAAATGCAAGATAATTAAAACGTTTAATCAAAGCATTAAAATATGATCTTTCTGAGTATATGACACATGTGTTTAGAATTTATGGTAATGAAGCTTATCCACTGTGGTAGTAATGATTACAAAATAAAAGTTGGGTGAACGCAATACTGAATTCATGCGAAATCTTATAGTCTAATCATCAAACTCCTAGAGTTATGAGGATTATGCTAGGTGTTATTGGATTATGCATACTGATTAATGCTGAGTGAACTCGATGTATGTATTTATGATATAATAAATATCTGACTATATATTCATAACATATAAGTAAACACTAAGACTATTAAAGATCATAAAATATCAAGTAAAAGACTTAGGTTTTGTCAAACTCGAAATCATATACTTAGTTGACTGAAGACTTGCTTAATGCCTGTCGTATTACAATCAAATACCTTAACTATTTGACACACCTGTAATTTTCTGGAAAAGCTCCTCTAATTAGTTGCGACGACACAAATAATTGCCACAATACAAAATACCTATCTACAAAAATTGTGACAGGTTTAATTAAAGGAGTTTAGAATAAGTGTTGGTGTTAATCTTCTTTTATGGGTTTGATTAGATATACCATTATTTAAATACACGTCAATTTTTTATGCATGTGTAGATGCATGTGTTGTATATTGTTTCTAATAAATGCACTCATGCATGATTTTCTTGTATTCTGCTTTTATCCTATCAAATTTCTTTTTTGCAAAAATGCAAGCTGTTACTGAAACGCACACCGAACTATATGATGTTAGAAAGTCACTAGATTTCTCGTTGTGTGAATAATTAGAACTTTCTATCTTCTTCCTCAGATGAATTCCGTGGAGAAACTTCGATCAATTTTACATGTTCCTGTTGTTTCCTACTTACATCAATTTTCAGTCATGTCGTCTTTCAGTGTAATCATGACGTAAATATGATTCTTTCTACAATTCCAATCTTTGGGTAAGCCACCCCTTACGAAAATTTCACATTTGATTTCCTATATGAAATTGGAATTCACGAATATCGAAAATACTTTTTTCGATAAAAGAAGACATGTCTATATTGATACTGTATAAATACGTAATAATTTTGTTGCGTTTTATCTCAGAAATCAAAAATTACAGAGACATGAGCAGTTCGCACTACAAAGACAAATCTCTTAATCAACAGCAAGGACGAAAATTCTTATTTTTATTCAAATGCATGCTTAATGATGTAACAGTTACTTTACATGAAAATGTTACAATAACCTAAATGACACAAAAATATTAATTTTTGTTTGTTGGTTGAGGACTAAATGCGATAAATTTGCTTCCATGTTAACTCTGTTCCGTAGAAGTTTTGAAAGTGAATATAGCATCCACTCCATACAATATGGCGGCAATAAAACCAGAGACCTATGAAAGATAATAGAAGTATTTAAACTCTTCTTCTCATCAAGAATCACTATATGAACGAAACTAAAATTGCAAAGTTTGCTTTCACAAAATGTAAGATCAACTGTTCAACTTACCATTCCACCAATCAATTGACCACAGGTGTAATCATATTTCCTGCCTGCGTCATCCCAAACTTCACATGCAGACTCGCCTCCTTTATCCTTGTTGTACGAAGAGAAGATAACGGTAATTAGGCAGGTGGTGACCAATAACTGTATCGTCCATACACCTTGCACTGCTGCCATCTGTAAAAGTTGAATGGCATAATTCACCATTAAACAGTAAGAAAAAGGCACTCCATATTAAAGGGTTGAGAATAAACCTCGGCAGACTTAAATACTTCATTATACTTATACATGCAGCAAAAAATTTGACAGAACTGACTTACAGATGTAAACTTTGTAGCAAACACTCTTCCTGTAGTCTTAAACATAATGAACTTACAGCTACAGCATTGTGCTTTTTATTCATTAATCCATTAAAGTTGAGAACCAATCCAACGATTGAAATAATAGCTCCAACGCAGGTCGTATAAAGAAAAAATTCCTGTCTACCAAGAACGCCTTGTTTATATGCTTCTGAATTAAAATCGTCATAATAATCAACGACTTCTTTTGTGAAGTAACCAACACATCCCAAACCAGCGACAAGTGCAACCTGAAATATGTAAAAAGAAGGATTTATGTAAGTTTTCTTAAGGGAACTTCATCATTTATATTGTTATGTACGTGTAGTATTTCAGTGGGCGATAGTGATATACAAAATTAATTTATAGATAATACTTACAATTTGACAAATTTTGAAAATGACTGATGGTGAAGTGAAGCTCATTGTTTTATCTGAAAGTGCAAAACGCACTAAACGTTATTCCAGTGATCAGTGAAATTCAAATTACTTTCAAAAGAATTCAGTAGGACACAACAGAATATATGAATATGCACCCTCCCTAATTAACGTTCTAGTTGCGCCACTGGCAGTGATCATTTGAAAACTATATTTAATTACGAAGTGGATGTCCACCGTTGACACTCATCTCTTAAATATATATAGTAAATGTTTTATATTAAAATCAAAATCCCTAAAACACTGAAAACGAAGGCAACCATGCATTATTCGAACAACCGCTTCATAGCAATTTAATATACCTGGGTTTTTATCGAGGCTCTTGCTTTTAGTTGTTGAGTGTTGTCTTTGTGTGTCTCAACGGTAACTTATCTATTTGCGAATAAAGGTTGGTTTCAACCAGCTTTTTATATGGTATGGTAATAAGTATATGTCACCGAGTTGTCAACTGTCAAACACAAATCCTCGTCATAGTGAATATCACACCCCACAGCTACATAAAAAAGTGAGGAGGTTGACGTTGTTTGTTGTCAAACAGACGACTTGATACATTTGATAAACAAGAAAACTACGACATAATAACGTCACCAGTAAAACATGAACATGCACATTTGCACGCAGCATATACTGATTAATGCTGAGTGAACTTGATCTACGTATTTATGATATAATAAATATCTGACTATTTGTTTGTAACATAAAAGTAAACACGAAGACTATTAAAGATCATAAAATATCAAGTAAAAGACTAAAATTTTGTCAAACTCGAAATCATATAGTTAGTTGACTGCAGACTTGCTTAATGCGTGTCGTATTACAATCAAATACCTTAACTATTTGACACACTTGTAATTTTCTGGAAAAGCTCCTCTAATTAGTTGCAGCGACATAAGCAATTGCCACAATACAAAATACCTATCTACAAAAGTTCTGACAGGTTTAAAGGGGTTTAAAATTAGTGTTGGTGTTAATATTCTTCTTTGGGTTTGATTAGATATACCATTATTTAAATACACATCAATTTTTTTATGCATGTGTAGATGCATGTGTTGTATATTGTTTCTAATAAATGTGCTCATGCATGATTTTCTTGTATTCCGCTTTTATCCTATCAAATTTCTTTTTTGGCAAAATGCAAGCTGTTACTGAAACGCAAACCGAGCTAAATGATGTTAGAAAGTCACTAGATTTCTCGTTGTGTGAATAATTAGAACTTTCTATCTTCTTTCTCAGATGAATTCCGTGGAGGAACTTCGATCAATTTTTTCATGTTCCTGTTGTTTCCTACTTACGTCAGTTTTCAGTCACGCTGTCTTTCAGTGTAATCATGACGTAAATATGATTCTTTCAACAATTCCAACGACATTCTTGCTTGTTTATTCATTACAAGCGTTAAAAGTAAAGGTGTAAACGTCAACAAGCAATAACAGATTTTAGCTTCAGTTACTGAAATTAAACCTTTTAAATAGTAAAATGGGACGAAAGCATGCAATTTCTCTTATCGAATGTATCAATTATGTAAGATTTTTTCCCCACAGTTTCAATTTTCTCTATCAATTATTCATCTTGTGAAAATTATAAAAAGATAAACCTTTTCCCCATAGCTATCCTTTTTATTTGTATTGAATGTTTAGTTTTGCCTTATGAAGTTGTTAACATTGAATTTCGTCTTTTATCTTAAGTCATCGATTAATCTAGTTGAACTTTTGAAAAGGTTAATGATTTTTTGTTTGTTCTAATGAATATTGCAAAGATTTATCACTATATTGCACCGTGCTATTGAACGTTTATTTTTGTTAAATGCAGGGAAAAGGCGCAAATGCAATGATGCATTCGGAATCGAAAAAATGGCTATCATGTAAGCAAGCTTGCACAGCTAAAAGATAGGATCCAAATTAAAAGGCGGAAAAATAGCAACTTGAGACACAAAACCCCCACGATTCTTCATATTAAATACACTTGACAAGCTATGATGTAAAACAAAAGGTAGATAAGATGGTGCTTCCATAACTCAATTATTTTAATCCATTTCAATCTTACACCAAAAAGATAACCACTCTTTTCCATTCTTCATAGCTCCATCTCGGCCGTTTCAAGTTCATTGCCAGAATCAGTCGCAACGACACTCAGCCAAAAGTGAAATGATGAATCCACAATATACAGGATAAATGCAGTAAAGGCAAATACCTAACAACAAAATTATTCGATTTGTTTGACTTTCATCTTTCCAAATTTGAAATACACAAACCGTAATTGACATTTAAAAGTTTTTAGAATTAAAATATCGGATTACTGCATAATGCATAAAGTTCATGGGTCGATTTACTCTTTAGAATTTACTTTTCATGGAAATTCTATGGTAATTTAAGCGACCTTAACATGTTGACATTTCTGCAGAGCGCGCACTCTATTTCGATATGTATCATAAAACTGTGATCATCAAGTCCACTCTCTCTTACATTTGTAGCATGACTTACCACGGCGACAACAAGATTATTGCATTCAATATCTTTATGAACAGACTTCCAAGAATCGCAAAGACCCGAAGCTTTATATGATCTCGTATTATCGGCCAAAATACCAGCAGAGATCAACAGCATTACGGTGAAAATGACATAGATTATTGCCATCTGAAATGCATTTATAATGAAGAATTATATATAATATCATTCAAAGCTGATCTCAACAACACAACTACATTGATTATGAGCTGGTTGATTAGTCACGGTAAGTTAATTGGCCATTGTAATTTTTACTCATCTAATCTCTTTTAAAAAAACGCTAGATCACTTTTCATATGGATGGAAGACTTATCTACATGTTATTATGTAATAAACTTGTCTCAAAAACGTTAAGTCTACATTCAATACATTTGGTCTCTTGAACAAGTATATACTGTTTCTCATACCGCTAAAACCCAATTTACTTGGTGAAGAATCTTGTGTCCGCCAACAGTGAAGAAAAGAAACGAGACTATGGTGAAAATCCACGTGCACGCCACGCAAAATATGAAAAAATTCCACGTGCCTCGCGTGTTGTTCAAAGTGCTCATAAAAGCTGCGATACATGACGGAGATATCAAGAGCGCCACCTTTTTTTTTTTAAAATGATAGAGAAATGTATTAGTAAGGAACAAATGATAGATAATGGGGCATATGACTGAATTACTGCCGTCACTGGGAGTGAAAAACAACTGCGTGACCCCTATTTACCTTGTATTTATCCTTATTTATCTCATCATGATCCCTATTTGCTTTGTCAAAATCTCCCTATATATATTGTGATGATCCTCATTTACTTTGTTTTGCGTTGTGATGATCCCTATTTATCTCTTCATGTTCCTTGTTTATGTTTTGATAACCCCCGTTTATATCGCCACGATCTCCACCACTCTTCTTATGATCACAGCGATGTTTTCTACGCTATGATGCAGACGTTTATACAAGCCTTCAAATAACTTACAAATTCGAATATTTTTAAAATTCCTGGAGAGGAAACGATGAACTGAAAGCCCTGACCAATTTGCGTTTTATCAGATTTTCTAAAAAGGAAAAAGTAATTATGTGTTCATCAAGAGCACATTGTATGTCTACTTTTTTTATTGACTAAAGCTACGGGCTTTTTTTCATGAGTTTTTATAAACGAAGTGTGATACATATTGTACGTGATCTAAGGTCAGTGTTGCCAGATGAAATTTTAAAATATTCATGCTCGCTTGCGTCAAAAGTTCACTAACATGGCAAAAAGTTCATATTACAACTAATTTTTAAGATCGGAATATAACGGATTAACTCGGAAATTCGCGGAAACTCTCGGAAGTATCCGGAAAACATCGGATTATCTTAAAATCGTCATTGTTTTGAAAGAACTGTCGAGCTATGAAGATTTTCTTTTCATTGAACTATGATTTATCAATACATTCTTTATGAAAATGATGAAAATACAAAAATGCATAATATTTAGAAAAGTTCACAAAAAGTTCAGAAACTTTTAATCTTCATGAAATGTTCATGAAGAGAGCAAAAAGTTCACAAATCCTTGAACTTTGTTCACAATCTGGCAACACTGTCTAAGGTATTTGAGCGATCCCAACCAATCAGATCCCAACAACAAACACTGCCATAATCTGATCTGTATAAAATTTCTCTGATCTTAGAAGAAAATTTAACCACAATAAGAATATCAAATTTACTGTCTGAATATACCAGTTCGCAAGATTTGCTTGTAAAAAATGTTTTGTTAGTGCCGAGTCGTTCCATTTTAGGACTGTGACCTGCAGATAGACTACAGAAATTAATGAAAGTACTTTAACACTTTAACAGCAGCAGTTTTAGTAAGAATTGCTGTGTTTGAAATATTTAAATTTTAAGTTTGATAATAAGACCGGCAAGGTTTAATTTTGACGTGCAGCCCGTAGAAAAGTTAGAATAAGAAGCTCCTCCTCCCCTCGCCTACGTTTTTATGTTTGAAAAAAAATTGAAACGCATATATGTCGAAATACTTTTTTCGATAAAAGAAGACAAATCTATATTGCTAATGTGTAAATAAGTAATAATTTTGTTGTGTTTTATCTCAGAAATCAAAAAGTACGGAGACATGAGCAGTTTGCACTACAAAGACAATTCTCTTAATCAACAGCAAGGACGAAAATTCTTATTTTTATTCAATTGCATGCTTAATGATGTAACAGTTACTTTACATGAAAATGTTATAATAACCTAAATGACACAAAAATATTAATTTTTGTTTGTTGGTTGAGGACTAAATGCGATAAATTTGCTTCCATGTTAACTCTGTTCCGTAGAAGTTTTGAAAGTGAAAATAGCATCCACTCCATACAATATGGCGGCAACAAAACCAGAGACCTATGAAAGATAACAGAAGTATTTAAACTCTTCTTCGCATCAAGAATAACTATATGAACGAAACGACAGTTGCAAAGTTTGCCTTTACAAAATGTAACATCAACTGTTCAACTTACGATTCCACCAATCAATTGACCACAGGTGTAATCATATTTCCTGTCTGCGGCGTCATCCCAAACTTTACATACAGACTTGCCTAATAGAACGTCTTCGTCCTTGTTGAACGAAGAGAAGATAACGGTAAGTAGGCTTGTGGTGACCAATAACTGTATCGTCCATACACCTTGCACTGCTGCCATCTGTAAAAATAGAATGGCATTATTCACCATTAAACAGTAAGAAAAAGGCACTTCTTTTGAAACGGTTAAGAATAAACCTTGGCAGACAGACTTAAATACTAGATTATGCTTATATATGCAGCAAAAAATTTGACAGAACTTATTTACAAATGTAAATTTTGTAGCAAACACTCTTCTTGTAGTCTTAAACATAATGAACTTACAGCTACAGCATTGTGCTTTTCATTGATTAATCCACTAAAGTTGAGAACCAATCCAACGATTGAAATAATAACTCCGACGCCGGTCGTATAAAGAAAAAATTCCTCTCGACCAAAAACGCCTTGTTTATATGCTTCTGAATTAGAATCCTCAATATGATCAACGTATTCTTTTGTGAAGTGACCAACACATCCCAAACCAGCGACAAGTGCAACCTAAAACATG